AAAAATTTCAGGTAATTTTTTCATTGATATAAGAAATTGTGTTTCAAACTCTTATGATTTTATGAAGAAGAAGCATGAATGTGAAATCCTTGAACAAACTATTTTTTAACAAAATTAAATAAATATTTTTTAGTTCCAAACAATTTCATTAAATATATCATATTTTTCCTACTCCAACCTATCCTTTCCCTCCACCCTTTTTGACAAAAAAATATCCGTGGATTAAATTTTCGGCTTACTTGTGCCAAAATAATGATTTATAACAATAATTATGATAATTCTCTTCAACTATTCGGATATTCAACTCAATTACCTCGTGTCAATCTTCAAAAACTTGAAAAACGTTTTTCCTTTATTTAACATGCGTCCAACATATGTAAAAATTAACATGATTTCCACATATAATGCATATAACCCTGGTCAAAATTTCTAGCTTCAATTAATTTTCATCATTAGACTCAAGTAAACCTCAACCCAGCCAAACCGAGTTCAAAAAGAATATTAAATTTATAATAATGCTCAAAAAGCTTCAATAAACCCAATCGAGACTCCATGAGTCTCAAATAATACTAATCGAGTCTAAATTTCATTTTATCGAACTCGTAAAATTATATGCGGATTAATAAAGGCGGGGAGCCGATTATATAAAAATTAGGGGGTATTTTTCTATGGTTACATACCCGAATCTATTTTTTTTTTCAATACATATAAAATCGATATATTTTTAAAATGTTTTTTGGCATGTTAACATTCACGATTTTTCCGTGAAGGCTGCAGTAACAGCTTCATCTTAGTTATCAAACTGAAACAAAATGAATGAACAATTAGACTTTGACTTAACTTAAGAAACAGAAAGATAAAAGAAAAAGTGATTTAAGTTTATAATTCGAGATCTCAACGACAATTTTTTACAAATAAAAAACTAGTACAAGAGGTTCTCATGGAAAAGCAAAAATGATTTTTGATCCGGATTATTTCCAACTGCTGTAAGCATAGCAGAGCACAACAACTACTCGACACTATACACGAATCAAACATACTGAATAATCTAGATCCAATTGTTTGGATCGCAAAACAACGAGATATGTTATCTAAATTCTCTAACAGACTTTAGTTGATCGATCTCAAACATCGAACGCTATAAGTACTCTACTGCTTGTCAACTACTACTACCTCTACCCCTTTTGCCTAAAGGAGCCCAAGCTTGGTGTAACAAGCTTCGATAAACCTTTGGTTATCGTTATTTCGTACTAGTTAGGCAATCCATGGCATGCCGAACTTTGGCAGTTCCAGAATATTACGAGATTACATCCGAATGTGGAATTTTTTTGGCATACTAGTGTTTGGCTTGTGTAATTTAAAACAAATAAAATCTGAATTGGGCTAGCCAAGTTCGCCCCGAACTGATTCTTCGACGACTCACTAAAATTCTAGTCGGGTTTTGCTAACTTCAAGAAAAAGAAAACATTATCCACCTTTGAGTCGTTGTTCGTTTTATCCAAACATCAGATTCTGATTTTAGGGTAAAAACATTCCATCCGAAGATCTACTGGAAGTGATACTGGGTATTCATCGTCTATCTGACTTGAAAAAAGTTTTCGATTATCTGAAATGGTGTAATAATTATAAAAACATATATAATTTAAATATTAACCTGACTATATAGTCACTCTTAATGTTAACTATTACATTATTCCGACCTTTATTTATTTATTTGTTTGATATAACAAATTCTAAAAATTCTAATTGTAACATGGATTTATCCAATTTAATTAATAAATAGTATATATATTTTTCTTGGAATAACAATGTAAACTCGAGTTTTAATTCTCGGTTTGATATTTAAACTATGACAAAAATTTGTGTTTAATTTGATCTTTAATTTCCATTGATGATTTATTTATCTATTTTTGGTGGTTTAAATTTAAATCATTACGTTTATCATTACATTTTTTCCGAACAAAGACTCATTTACCTATCCAAAAAATTTATCTAAAGCAAATAAAAGTAACTGTAAAAATGAAGAGGAAATTACTGTAATCAACACAATAAACCCTCGGTGTACAAAGGCGTTTATCCAGAATAATCTTGTTCCGAGGTTTGGAAATACTTTGCCCATATTCTCTCGTTCGCGCGTGCACCATTAAACACTAATAGGGTGAATATAATCCAGGGGTTCTCTCCACCCTTCAGCAAGCTGTATATCCTCAGAATGGTCCCCAACTTGGACACGTACATAGAAAAGAATAAGAAGAAACCATACTGAGGGTTAATTGACTGGGACAGTTGGCTTATTTGGAAATCTCTCAGTATCATCCCCATTACTCTTCCATTATTTACTATCCATAACATCGGCTGCCATAAATCCCAAACATTTCAAATTACTTAATTCTTGCTGTCTGATAACTTATATACAATAACTTACTACTAAAACTTGTAAGATTAGGATTTTATTTACAACTTAATTGAAACAACATGATTCATTTTATAGATATATTATTATTTTATCATTTATAATGTCTTAAATTCTCTCATAATTATTTATTTTATAATTTATAGAACTCTTATAGTTTTGATAATACTCGTATATTTTTTCGGAGAATTTAATGAATTCAAATTAAGCCTAGTATTTTTAAAACTCTTAAGTTAATCTTATTAACCTAACAATAAATATTTATTTACAGGATTTAACTACTTTTAAACATTTAAATTAATAAACTATAAATACATAAATTATATTAAATTACACGGAACAAAATTAATTTTACACTGAAAAAAAAATTAGGAAAACGGTTGACCCTCAAGGCCATCCCTGCAACTTCCCGCCAATTCTATACCTATACGCTTGAAATTGCACTTATGACGTTTTAGAGCTCTTCGAGCTCTTAAATACAATTTATATATTATTTCGAGCTCTCCGAGCTCAAAAAAATAGCTTTTGTATGCTTTTGAGCTCTTCGAGCTCAAAAGTTTGATAGAACACAATTTTTTTTATTTTCAAATCGCAATAACTTTTTGAATGAATGAACCGATTTTCACGCGGTTGGCGGCATTCGACGCAGTTTTTCAAGCTTCATAAAAAATCTTTGAGTTTATATCGACAGAATGGAAAAATTCGGAGTGATTCCGAAAAAACGCTTTTTTCGGTTTTCTTTCGTCAACTCACGAACAAATTAGCCGATTTTGACCGGACTGGCGGCGATCGGCGTGGTTTTTTGACGTTAAGAGCTGATTAGTTTTTGGAATTGATCGGTAAAGTCGTTTAAAAGTTATTTCAAAAAAACCACTTTTGAAAAAATTTTTTTTTGTAGTTTTTTTACGATTTCTCAAAATCTATCGGTCCGAATTGGTTCAAATTTTCAGAAAATCTAAGTTTGGGCAAGCCCTTTCGAATGGCGCCAACCGCGATCAAATCGGTCAAGCCGTTCAAAAGTTATAAGAGGTTTACATACATCCACACACATACACACACACACACACACACACAGACATACAGACATACAGACACCACCGCGGGGGTAGTCAAGGAAGCTTCCTGTGACCTTAAAACGTCGAGATCTGATGAAAACTCGATTTTTGTAAAACGGGGTGAAAACAATAACTTCCCGATTTTTGAAAATCTGAGATTTTTAGCGGGAAGTTAAAAATTTAGTTCATTGGGTACCCGTTTAGTTGATTTGGCCCACCCGTACCACTCGAGTAGGCCAAAGATTTCATACTAACTTTACCATCTCTCTATACCTCTACGTGTAAAAGATGCGATTTCGAAAATTAATTACTCAAAAACGGTGCGGTCAATTGATCTGAAATTTTGGTAGTGAATTATTAATATATTTATCTTTCGATAAAAAAAATTTCATAACTTTCTGTTGAAATGCCTTTCACGCTACAACTACCTTAATCTTGAATGAAGCCGAAAAATTTCTAAGAGAAGCGAAATCTACATAAGCAAAAATTTTTAATTTAAAGAGGGTTTACACTTTTTTTTCTCTCACCCTCTATTAGTCAAACAAAAGTATCTCTGTCATACCAGTACAACAAATCTTAAAAACCATTTTATACATAAATATATGAAAACTTTCAAAAAAAAGCGCTTCGCTCTACAAAGAGTTTTTTTTTTGAAATTATATTTTATACATGAACAAAACATGTTTGAAAATTAACTATCAATCGCTCTTATTAATATACAGTGAAACTGTTTTTGTTCGGATTTTAGTATTTTTTGTAATTATAATAAAAATTTACAATTAGTACAAATTTAAATCTCGCGTTGGCTGCATTTTTATAGCAAACTATTCCCTTGAAGCTACAGTTTATGTAAAAATAATTCCAGCGCACCCTGGCGGGTGTAGATGCAAGCTGTGAAATGTATTTTTCTAACTGTAGTTTCCCATCTATCGGAGGATTACCATGCAGGATTACCGTTGCTATAGTTTATGCTGATTAAATTTAATAATTTCAAGTAGATTAATTGTTATAATTAAATATAATTAATTAATATCAGTAAAATAAAGTATGAATTACTGTTATAATATAAAATTTAGGAAAAAAAATTACCGTAGAATTAAATAAAATTTTGCAACCTCGAAATACCGTTCTGCTTACAGTAAACTCACTCGGTAGTCTGGCGCTCCGTTTACAGCGGATTTGAACGGAACGGCGCCAGATTCTACCGAATCTGTGGATTTCTTTTCTAGAACCGAATTATTTTTTTATCAGTATAGCTAAAGTAAAAATATTTTTCATTTAAAAAATATATATACCCAAAACTTTTCTTGAATAAAAAATGTTTTTAAACAAAAAAAAATTTTTAAACCCTAAGAATTTGATTCAAATTCATTTTTTCCGTATATAACACAATTAAAAAAATCATATTCGCTGAATTACGTTAAGCTAAACTAGTTTTCGAAGTATTTACGCGTGAAATATTTACAATATTTACATTATTATATTTACAATATTTACAAAATTTTTTTTTAAATAAATCTCTAAAACTATTCTCACGCTTTTTCCGAAACATCAGTTTTGTATGGTTGAAACAGTTTAGGTTGTTCGAGTTTAGTAGAAGTGGGACTCGGAGAAATATTATGAGATCCAAGAAATACGTTTTTGTTTTCGAAAGCACTTTGTATCGATTGAATTTGGGACGGAAAAGCATTCAAAGTTAAACCACCGGACAATTTCAACGGGGGTGATTCATCACGTCCATTAGAATTGTTATTAATATTAATGTTAGTACTTCCATGATGATGATGAACAGATCCAGCGCAATCGCAGTCGCTTGAAGTATCAGAATTAGCAGGACTAAGCTCCGCGATGTGCGCAGGCCTGTACCCTGGAGGCGTGGGTATCTGGTGCTGAGTCGTGGGCGTACCAAAGTTGGGAGAACCAACACCAGGAACTCCAACAATTCCAGGTAGATGCAGGGGAGAGAGTCCGTGTGGCTGGAGAAGATGAGGTTGGGCTGGGTACCCAGGTGACTGAGGATGCGGTCGAAGTCCGTTTGCACCAGGAGGACTACCAACGGCATAAGGATTATATCTAGCAGCACTAGCGTAAGCTGCGTAAGCACTAACTGGATAAGCTCCAGGAAATCCTCCAGGAAGGTGATAAGGTGGTTGCGGAGGTTGTGGAATCCCATTAACTGCTGCGAATATTGATGCAGCAAAATTCGGGTCGGTGTACATAGCGTAAGGCCAAGCTAAAGCTAATCTTTGGCGTTTATCTTTCATTCGACGGTTTTGAAACCAGACCTAGAATTTAAAAAAATATCATTAGTATGATATAGGTGTTTTTGTTGTTCATGCCGAAAGGCATCGCTAATTCATTTAATTGACACCTTCTGAGGTGATGAGAGGAAGTTTGTTTGCTTTTAGTGATTGTGCCAGCCGACGTTTACATACCGGCTCTGCTATAATCACCGATCAAACAAACCTGCTACTGGCTTGTGTGTTCAAAAATTTATTCGTATATGGGTAGATACACATCAATAGTTAGAATTAGTTAGATTAAATATGATAGATACCTTTATGGTTCCTTCTGGTAAATTCAATTGTGTGGCAAGTTCGCATCTACGTGGCCTGCTGACGTAATTTTCCCTTAGGAATTCCTTTTCTAAACGAGAAAGCTGTTCTCGGGTGAATGCTGTTCGATAGCGACGCATATTTGGGTCCATGTTTCCCATCGCTGACTGTTGTTTCGATGGAGAATCTGCGGGAAAGAAGAAAGGCATGAATAAGAAAAATGACACTTGTAAAGACCAAGCGAGTCGGAGTCAAAAGGTAACCACATGGAGACAACAAACGATTTCCGAATCTAATGGCACAAGGACGTAAGACTTTGATTGTGCCGACAATTCGGAACTTTATTGTGCCGACAATCGGAATTTAGAGGTAAAGAGAGAGAATTGAATTTTGAAAATTAACTAACCTTTCTCCGGAGATTTTTGCTCAGAAGTCATCGGGCTGTGTGGTGGAGATAGTTGGTATTGCGGAGGAACTAAATCCACGACGATTGTATCATCGTTCTTATAGTGATCGTGTTCTTCGAAAGTTCGTTGATAACTTTGCATAATTAATTCACTGTTATTTTTGTTTAACTGAACAAACACGTGCACTTGAAAACACAGATGCACTGATAATTACACCGCACGTCGGACGAGCAATGAAGCTAAAAGATGACTAAGGTCTGGGGTCTGGCTAGTCACCCCTGGAACTAAGGCTTGAGGCAGTTGAGGGGAATTTTATAGTTAAGAATTCGGAGTGGGGAATCAGTGTTTGGTTGAAAGCTATTGGTCCAGTACCTCGAATACTCGAAAATCATTGGTAGATTTTCGACACTCCCACTTGCCTGGTTGTGCTTGTATGTATAGGAAGTGGGAAATAAGCTGTTTTTTTTTGTGCTGTTGCTGATACTAAATGGGTTATTGGATTGAAAGGTCAGACTGCTTAGTCGTGATTATTCGGAGGTGTAAATTTTTTGGAGGTAATTTAGGTAAGAGAAAATTTGATAATTGAGATATTCTGCTGCGGAAGTTGGTTTTTTATGTTTGCAGATACTTGTATGACTCAATAAGCGAGTAGAAAAATCAAAAGATTATCAGGAACGTGTTTTTCAAGACGGCTTTTGTGAAAATATAGCAGTGGAATTTTGAAAAATATAATCGACATTCGAAAAATCATCAAATTTTTTGGATTTCCTGTATCGAATACCGATATGAATTTTAACACTGTATAGAAATAAGCATTTCGGACCTTCTTATTCTGAGAACCCTATATTTTGTAACTATTTATCAATTTTATTCTTAATTATAAAAATCATTTTTGTTTATTTTTCTTCTTTATGGTTATTAAAATTTTTATTTGTAAATGAAATTGCTTCTAATAATCGCGTATCTTGAATAGAAAACGCATTTTAATTTATTCTTAAGGATCCGACGGTAAAGACTTGTGCCACTGTAAATCCAAGTGTTTTCAAAGTGACTACAAATGGGCATTACCCGATGAAAAAAGTTTTTGTCTAATTATATATGATCAAATATAATCATATATGAGAGCATATATAATCATACATGATTATATATAAGCTCATAGATAATTAGATCTGATCATACCTGGTTGTTATAACCCCATATATAATCATATGTGAGTTTATATATGATCAGATCTGATTATATATGTCTATATATAATTAGATCTGATCATACCTAGCTGTGATAACCCCATATATAACCATTTATAAGTCTATATAATCGACTAGAATTGACTTATTTTTACCTGAAATATCGAGAAAAGCAAAAAAAAAATTTGTCAAACGAAAAATTTTTTTTGGACTTAGAAAAAAAAATTGAATTTTTATTATAGGTCCTTAAGGTTTCCGGGTGCTATAAGAGCTTATAATTTTTATACGCCCTTATGGCATCTGTAACGCAACATTTTTAATTTTTTTTATTTAATATATTTAATGGCAGATTTACGGTATAAATTATAAAAAGGTAAAATGTATGAATTTAAAAAAAAAATCTTTAAAGTTGCTCTAGAACTTTTCAATTAATTATTTACTTTTCAATTTTTTCACAAAATTTTTTTTTAATTGAGAAATTAATATTTTAGAATTTTTTATTAATTTTTATTATAAATATTATTTTTATATTTATTTATTTAATATTTATAAATATTATTTTTTATTATAAAAAATTAGTTTTTTATTAATTAAATGAAAATAAATAAATTATACATATTTTTCAAATCACTCTACATTTTTAGAAAACTTAAAAAAAAAAAATTACTGTTGTAGAACCAATCGGTTACCGTGTTTTATCCGGTTTAAAATTTACAAAAAGTAAATTTTTTTTTTATTTTTTATATTCAATATGAAATTGATATTATATTGTTCTTTTTCATGCAATTTTATGCCAAATGAAAAAATCTTATGTGTATGATTTATCAATTTATCATGCAACGTAATTTTTAGTTATTCATTCATGGAGTATTAAAATTATTTGAGAACTTTGGAAATATTAAAATAATCAATGAAATATTTATAAATCTGACAACATTTTAATTAGTTACAAATAAAAGACATCACCATGGAACAATCACACATTTCGCACTGTCGAAACTAGTATTAAAAGTCTTCGATAGATGGCGCATATCCGCAGAACTGTTCCTTTCTAGATACTTGACTTTGAAGTGTTAAGTTCCGAAAAGAGGAGAATTTTGGTACTCTATAAATGAGTTTATCTGTTTTTGAAGAAAGTCGTAAAGACAACTAAAATAAATGTTGCATCAACTTTATTATAAATGTAAATTTATTCATCAATTTTATTTAGGCTTCAGGTTTATCAACATCTTGACATGGCCATATCAACCATGATAAAGTCTGATCAGAATATTTTTTCACGAGATATAGTTAGATATGATTAGATCTGGACATTTTTTGGATCTGATCATATATGATTATACATGATCATATATAAACATGTCTGTTCATATATAAACAGATCAAGTTATGTATGATCAGACCTGGCCAATTTTTGGATCTGATCATATATAGACGATTATGCATGATTATATATGATTAGACAAAATCTTTTTTCATCGGGTAA